GTATTCGAGTTGTTCGTGTATGAAGACACGACTACTCTTTATTTATTGTCAAGTTGTTGGAACTTCGAGTTCTGTTCCTTACATGAGAAATATCTAAGACTATTTATACCTTTTAAACTTTCGATCTCTGCTGCTATTTTTATAAATGTTATTTTTGCTCGAACCACTAAATCTAAGAAGACCACTATCGCTACTAGCGATACTTAGCGCTACTAGTGATACTTAGCGCTACTAGCGATACTTAGCGCTGTTGCAGCTTCCCTCACATTGGTGTTACATTGTGGTTATCTTATCACATGATACTAATTACAGGGGTCAACAGCACGCAGAGGCTTTTGTGCGATTGGGTGATAATGGATATTGGTTTAAATGAAGCACAACTCCAAACGAAACCGAAGATGGTTGGATTTGATAATAACGAAGCAATTCAATTTGAGAATAATATTTCTTAGTATGATGCGTCGCTTGAGAAAACCATTAATGAGTTTAAAATAGATTGGTATCGTTATATGGGTGCAAGCGAAGATGACATTGGTGTATTCGAGTTGAAGGCAACTGAATGGTATGTTAAAACTAATGACGGTTTGGCAGCCTTTTCACAGGCGTATATGACATTAAGTGGTCGTGCGGATACATTATACTCAATCAATGACGATATTTATAGAATTAAATGCTTAAGCATATTTTTTTTCTATTTTTCGTGATCTACGTTATGCCACCTAAAATATCGAAAAATTCTATCCAACCGGTTGCCAAAATTTTAACTTCGGCTGCGTCTGCCGTACCGGCTTCTTCTTTTAATGATTTTACCAATTTAAATTTTTTGTTGCAACAGCAACAGAATCAATTTATGGAATTATTAGCGTAAGTTGTATTACAACAAGAAATAAAATTTTTTTTTCTTGCGAATATTAATAGTTAAATTTTATTGAACGAAAAATGGAATAGCAGTATTCATTATGGTTTGATTAAATGTTAAAAGACGGGTTGTATTTATTATGTTCACATCAAGGTATCGATGGTTTGTTTTAAAAGCTTCGAAAATTAAAAAGTGGCTATTTTTTTCATATCGGTTAGAAATCTGTTGAGAATTCATTGTTTATTA